GGTGATCACGCTTAGTTGGTGACGGTCGGCCGAGCAGACCGACGGTAGGGGCTTGAAGTCCCAACTCGAAAGTTCGAGTTCTGACAAGGACTCAGGAGTCTACTTCGCTGACCGGTCCCAAACAACACGAAGAAGCTTTTCGGAGCTATCTGTCGTTTATTTCCATTGCTATAAATTACAAAAAGATATTTACGATGTTACGTTTGACTATAAATCACGGTTACAAAATCGTGGATTATGGAATAAGCTGTGAAAATTAGTGATTTCATCACTGGATGAAATTGAATTTATGTAGTGATAGTGAGCGAGTAGCTCGGAAGATAATTATGTCGAAACAGGTTAATTATAAATGATTTATCGTAATCCGAGTTAGTAGCAGGAATCAACTAAAAAGGAGATGCGAGAAATAATGACGACGGTACTGCAGGTTTTACAGTACATAGATTAATATTGCATGTAACTTGCGTTTCTTTGAACAGAATGGTGATGGCACTATAAAATCGCATTGCCAATTGACGGCATCAATAGACTTTTATGCAATGCAGTGGCCTATTAAATACTTAAACAGATGGGTTGTGCTATATCGTGCAAATGGGAAATGAAAAACGGTCTGATGAGCTGCCCGATGGCGTAGTGGGTAGCATGCTTGCGTTCTACTCATGAGGCTTCGGGCTCCATCCCCAGTTTAAGTTGATGGATTCGCAATGCTGATGAGACCTAACCAGGTCGGAACAGGGGTCCAGTGCTTCCCAGCTTTTCAGTTCATGCTTTATTTGCTATATACACGACGAATTCCCATTTGAATTACTTAAAGTTTTATTTATTTTAGAAACAGTCTACTGAAATGGAACTCAGTAAGCAAAGTGTTATCGCTGAAAGTTAATTTCGATATATGCCCATACTGGAACTTAAACAATTTCAGGCGAACAACTGTCCACAATAACTGCACACACATTTTCATATAACAACACGAATCTCGCAGAACTGGGTCATACAACCGTCTTGACATAACTGAAAACCCCGGAAGCACAGATTTGAGAATGCGGTGTGGAACACACACAACCACGCATACACGAAGTGAACGATTCCTCACATTTTATAGTTCTCCTCCTAACCCCCAGGTTTTTCCCCTCACAAACGGTAACGGCATTATTGTGAGTTATTGAAAACAAATGTTCTCCTGAAATTGTGTTTTGAATTTTAATCGTCAGTAGATTTCAACTGGTCGGTTTTGAGACCACGACAATATGAATTTGGTGAGCAGCCGATGGGTATTGGCGAATGATTCAGCATTTAATTAAGAAAGACATATTTCAGCAATGCGGACGCATTTATAGCGACAACACTTTACCGTTGAACTGACTTATAGTTGGGGAAAAACAAGAAACTCGCAGCTGGCGCAAATCTCAACGGAATGTACTGTTATACTCTGAGAAATTATGTTATTGTTTTCATCTGGAAAACGGTTTCGGTAAACCGAATGACAATACTGAGAAAAGGGTTATCAGTTATTTCCACATTCCCAACTTTTTCCAAATATAACTTCGACATTCATAATTACTTCCCGTGTGAAGCGACGTTTCATTGGTAACGTTCACTTGCCTCCCTTGCCGCATTTTTATTTGGTCGATCCAATTCATTGGATTGAAACTTTTATTTTCGTCTTTTGAGTAATAAAATTAGATACTGGACTAAAAAAGTAAACCTTATTCAATTGTGAATGTTATAATGTTAATAACACAGTGATGTTGTTAGAGAATTGGATTTGCTGACCTTTATTGCATTTACAATAAAGCACAACACATAGAACATTGATTTTTCGATGAAGACCTAAAAGGCGCCAAAATGATTTGGAACATAAATTTAAAAATGCTCGACAGAGTTTTACGTCAAATCAGTCTTTTCACCTAACATAGAAATGTGACATGCGAAAGTATGGCCCGGCATTAAATGAGACCCAAGCCCCTTGCGCCAACGTTTGCGAAAAAGTAAGGTATTGAGAAGAGCGCATGAACTAGGGAAGGCCCTTTGCTTTATTAAGTTCTCATCAGCACGTTTAACACCCTGAGTAGCTAATCAAGCCCTAAGTGTATAGACCACTGACTGTCGATTTCCACGAAACCTCCGCGGGTCTCCCTTGGATGTGCAGGGGCAAGAGGAGCCACTTGAACAAAACCCGAGCGATAATAGGGACAACATTTCGTGCCACATTCCCAAGACACCTCATGAACTATGCGACGATTCACATAATTGCTACGGCGTTCCAGGAGAGCAACGCAGTCTGTTCTCTTAGTGTCTAGGATTTCCAAGAAGCCAACTGGAAATTTTAACACGTCTCTCGTCGTTGAATTCTGGGACGTCAGAACTCTCCTAGACACGGGAATTTAGTGCATTACTAGGCGTTGCTTTCACGACTACAAATCAGTGTCTATCACAGGCTCGTCTTGAAGATACGGTGAATTTAGGTCCCCAAATCGAAAACTAGACCTACTGGCTACATCACAATGGCCGACGAACCACTCCGCTTTGCACGGAGCTGCCCTGCTGTCAACCATTTTGATAACAATGAACTAATCCTCTCAGAACCCGTCTACTTCAAGACCGCGGTGGCATGCTTCAACGAAATCTATCACCAGTTAAAAACTGTTCTCAATCGCACTCCTAGACGCAACATTCGTCCCATGGCAGGGGATTGTTCGTACCGGAGCACCGGATGATAACACTGGGTATATCCCTTAGGTGTCGTCTTAGCCGTCCATGCGAGAATGGCCAATGTGTAATCACGTCTAATTAATGACTAATCGGTTGATCGTTCCCAACACACGCTAACAACAGCCGTTACCATTTTACAAGAACGACAGAAAAAAATTATCAAATTGACCGCATTCTGGCTCGAATCCACCACTCACCCGTGATCGAAAATTGTGAATGCAAATAGGAACAATCGCACCCCTGCACGCAGTCACTTCATTATCTCGAAACTCGACAAAATCCTCGCCTCGAGACCAGAATCAATACCGCCACTCTAGACAGCCAAGGAACACAGGTTCTGTCAAAGAAGCTTGATGCAAATATGCGAGCCAATGGTTTGGTGAACACTCAGCTGGCTACAATTAAGGTGCGCATCCAAGAAGTATCGCTGGAACAAATAAGGTACAACATAAAGACAGGATCTCCGAAAGAAGTCTTTAACTGTCTAATAAGGTAACAGAGGCGTTGGTTTATAGGGTCACCGAAATCAATGTCCTTCGATGCGAAGACACTCGTCACAACAGGTTAGACTAGATGTATTTGTCACGAATGGCAGAAGAAATCGGCGCCACCAGAGGTGTCAGAGAACTGTGAAAACACTTCCGCTTAATCTGCACTTATTCATGGGAGAAATTTCTAATGGACATCATGGTGCGCGACTTTTATAAAAGGGAATGATGGAAAAGTCCAGAAATGGGTTTGACCAAAAATTGAACCGTATGACTAGTAAACGGCGAGCCAACAGGTAAGGAGGAAATCGCACAAGCGGCTGGCAATCTAAATAGTAAGGTAAGACGGCAAACCACGGGAAACTTTCAAATCCTGAATCCTAATTTTACCCAACTGGTTTGATTTGCTATTTAATCACGAGTTCGATATGGTTGCCCACTATCTCTGATGCCGTTCAACTGCATCATGGACTGAAGTATGAACCGTGCCCTCGATGATAACCTGGGAGTGGAACTTAAACCAGCTAACTGGATCACTGACCTCTAGTTTACGGATGACGTCGTTGTTCTCGGAGTAACCTCGAACAAACTACAACCGATCCTCGACCATATCACCTGTTACGCGAAAGAAATCAGTTCGTAAATAAATACGACAAACACTAAAGGAATTTGACCGCAGCAATCCCAGCAAGACACCCGATCATAACCAACGATGAGCCAGAAGAACTCGTTCAGACTTTCGAGTATTTCGGCTCTACCATCTAGCTCGACTAACAAACCAAAGACAATCCAACCACAAGTCGATATCGCTAAGAGAGCTTTCCTACAAACCCACTGAGCACTATGGACACGTAACAAGTCAGCCTTCGTGCTGGGGAGAGAGCTTATCAAGCTGAAATCTGTACTGATAGTGGTTCATTCAGCTTGTGCTCGAAGGAATCAAGAAGTATGGGCGCAGAAACATCGTGAGGTGGTAGGGAATTCAAAACACTATAAACGCCAAGTGCGGAGCTTTCGAGGCCTTTTTCCAACGCCATGTTTGTAATGACACCGTCGTTTCGGTGGTCAAGTGAAGACCCGTATCATCATAGGATCATCAGAGAAGAAATGGAACACCGGGATCTGAATGCCGTGCATGACCTCTGAAGCTGGAATCAGAAGTGAATTTTACTCCGTGTCGAACATGTCGCTGAAGTTCACAAGTGAGCAGCCAGTCAGATACCATTTAGGTTAACTCATTTGGATGCACGAGTTAGCCACACAAACGTTAAAAGTAAAGAATGACATTTGACGAGGATGAACATCAACCTGGGACCGTTCCAAAACCGTCGACTGTAAAATTTCAAACTGAATGAAAAAGATAAACGAGTATTCCATTACCAAACTTCTGCAAACACAGTACAATGGGAGGAACTGGTAAGCAGTCATGAAGTTCAGGTGAGAAGTGAACTGATAGTTAGCTCGGATCAAACCCCCAAACTCGTACAGCGTGAATGGCAAATCGGTGTGAGGATGAAAAGAGAGATCGCGGTAATAAAAAAAACAAGTAATGAACAAAGGAAAAGAGAAAAAATAAAAGCACAGATAAAAAATAGCGCAACAGTTCTGAATAACCAAGGCTGTGCGGATAAAATCTGTGGTCTGTCTGAACGCCTTTTACCGGACGGAAACTGTAAAGACAAACGACAACACATTCTCTTTGGGGGCGAGGTGGCGAAAGAGAAGAGACCAAAAGCAGGATGAACTTAGGTTAGATGAACTCAATGAGGACCATTTATTTTCTGTCCTTGTGTGTTATCTTTAGAATCGCGTCTGTTCGCAAATATGATTATATCGATGTGCGTGGCTCATATTCGTGCGTTGTGTTCGACACTTTCGACCATAATAGCAATTCGGTCGAGCGGTAACTGTGACCGGTAATTCGTCATTCGGAATCGCCTCACGCTGCTTGTAGGCCATTTGAGACAGACAGCGCAGACCGCAACCATGACAGATGAGAGATTGATCCGTGGAACCATTGGGGCCGAAGAGATTGGGATCCAGATTATCCAGGCAGGACTGGACGAAATCGCTCACAGAAATACCCTTAGTGGCTAGGTGGTCCTGGAAATAATTAAAGTGGCAGATGCATTAGGGGGGGAGTTGGTTGAAAACGTAGTTTCACTTATATATGGAAAGGTTTTCATACGCATGATGATTCGATAAAATGTTTCATGTCAGGGTCCCAAACGAATGTTTTCTTGTTGATTCCGTATGAAAATACACTCAATTTGTTGTTGTCGCTGTTATTTTGTGTAGTCTCATTTCTTCAAATTATATTTCTTTCCGTGTTGGATAGATTGATTAGTTTGTGGGGTCTTGTGTTCGCTGAGCTTGGCGTTTACATCGCAAACGTTTCATCACCAGCCGGGGTGA